CCCCCCAAGCACCATCTATAAGGTAACAGAATAATGGCCCTCTGCATCAATGCTGCACATTCACTGCTTACATGTGAGGGATTAGATGCGACGTGCTTGCTCTTGACCAAAAAAAGTAAAAGGAAGAAAACGGTTGTTTTCTTGTCGTTAAAATGGTAACAAGACAGTCGTACAGAGCCGGACATCTGAAGCATCACCCCTGAGTGCACTGCACACTGGGGGTGGGGGGTGGGGTGGGGGGTGAGGGGTGGAAAGAGTAGAAGCTGGATCCAGGGGGAAGCCCTTCAGAGCTGGCAAGACTCATGTATTCATTCATTTATTCAGCATGCATTTATTGAGCACCTGCTGTGTGCCAGCATGGTTCTCAATGCTGGGAGCACAGCAATGACGGAGATGAACAAAACCCCACCCTCGCTGACACTCAGAGGAATAACAATCCAAGCAATGGCCTTTCTAGGCAGTGCCCTCAGAGTTTGTATTGTGTCCTTTAATTAAAAATAATAACACGGGGCACCTGGGTGGCTCAGTCGGTTGAGCTTCTGACTCTTGATTTTGGCTCAGGTCATGATCCCAGGGTTGTGGGATTGAGCCTCGTGTCTGGCTCTGGGCTGAGCGTGGCACCTGCTTGGAATTCTCTCTCTCTCTCTCTCTCTCTCTCTCTCTCTCTCTCTCTCTCTCCCCCTCTCCCCCTCCCTCCCTCCGTCCCTCTCCCCTCTCTCCCCTGCTTGTGTGCACAGTTTTTCTCTCTCGCTCAAATAAAATTTAAAAGAAAAATAATCTGGTCAGATACATTGCATTGATTTTTTTTTTTTTTTTTTTTTTTGTCCCATACTTTGGGTGTCCACCCAAAGTTTGAAAATCCCAAACCCCTTGATTTCCCAACAAAAACGACAAGATACATCCCTCCCTTTTAGGAGAAAGAAAGGATCAGAGAAGTTGCAGTGTGTGGGGCAGGGGATGGCGGGGGTGGAGGTGGGTTCCACGCAAGCCACAAGCCTCCCCCCCTCCCCCCGCCCCGCAGGTGGCGGCGGCCGGTGCCTTCGCGCAGACGCTGCGACGCTACACGTCGCTCAACCACTTGGCGCAGGCGGCGCGGGCAGTGCTGCAGAACACCGCGCAGATCAACCAGATGCTGAGCGACCTCAACCGCGTGGACTTCGCCAACGTGCAGGTGAGCGCGCGGCGGAGCCGGTGAGCGCAGGGCGGCCCCGGGGCGGTGGCTGAGCCGCGGGCACGTGCCCGCTGTATTGCAGGAGCAGGCCTCGTGGGTATGCCGCTGCGAGGACCGCGTGGTGCAGCGTCTGGAGCAGGACTTCAAGGTGACCCTGCAGCAGCAGAACTCACTGGAGCAGTGGGCGGCCTGGCTGGACGGCGTCGTGAGCCAGGTGCTTAAGCCCTACCAGGGCAGCGCCGGCTTCCCCAAGGCCGCCAAGCTCTTCCTCCTTAAGTGGTCCTTCTACAGGTGCGCTCAGGCCCTGCGCGATCCGGGCGGGAAGGGGCGGGGTGGGAGGACCCTGATCTGAGGGCGGGGGCTTAGGGACGGCTCCTCCCCTCCGGGGGCGGGTCAGAATGGGATCACAGGAGGCCCCGCCTCCTCGGGGAATTTGGGACGGGAGAAGACCTCCCCCCCCTCCCCGCCCCCTCCTTCCCTGGGGCTCAGGTGCCCTTTTACGAAGGCGGAGGCGCCCTGTTGGCGGTGGGCTGGGTGATGACCGTTTGCTGTCACTGACGGAAGCCCTTGGGGAGCCAGCGCGAGGCCGGGCCCGGGTCGCCGGGCTTGCAGACGCTTGGGGTCTTTGCGGTACTATACGGGGGCGAGAGGAGGGGGCCGGGCCTGAAGGTCTCCTCTCCCGCCGCCGCCTACAGCTCCATGGTGATCCGGGACCTGACCCTGCGCAGCGCTGCCAGCTTTGGGTCCTTCCACCTCATCCGGCTGCTCTACGACGAGTACATGTACTACCTGATCGAGCACCGCGTGGCCCAGGCCAAGGGCGAGACCCCCATCGCCGTCATGGGCGAGGTGCGCGCGGCGGGGCGCCCAGGGCGCGGGCGGGCCCCCCCCACCCCGGCCTTGGCGGGACCCTCACCCCTTGTCTTGCCTCCTTGCAGTTCGCCAACCTGACCACCTCGCTGAACCCCCTTGACCCGGACAAAGGTAGGCGGGGCGCGCCCCTACCCAGGGCCTTAGTCCAAGGGGCGGCGACCCAGGGGAATTGGGGCGGAGGAGATGTCCACGGTGCTCTGGGGATGCGGCCGCCACACGCTGAGCCGGGCCTGCTCTGTGTGCCCCAGACGAGGAGGAGGAAGAGGAGGAGGAGAGCGAGGACGAGCTGCCACAGGACATCTCACTGGCGGCCGGCGGAGAGTCACCCGCGCTGGGCCCGGACGCCCTGGAGCCGCCGGCCAAGTTGGCAAGGACAGACACACGGGGCCTCTTCGTGCAGGCGCTGCCCTCCAGCTAAGCCCGCGGCCTCCCCCCACCCCGCCCCGCCCGCCCCCGCCGCCCATCCACGCCAGGGTCCCTCACAGCTTCTGTGGCTTCGCTGTCACCGTTCCAGCCTCGGCCAGGGCCGGGATGGGGGCCTCCAAGACAGGGAAGGCTAGGGGGTCCCCGCCCCCAGTGGGGCCGGCACCAATCACAGGGCCGGGGCGGAGCCGCAGCTGCAAACTGACACAAAAGACGTGCCTTAAGGAACCCGCCTCCGTGCCCAGGTGCCCCGTGGGACAGCCAGCTTGGCTCCTTGGCCTCCAAGGCCTCAGCATCTCCCTCTCCCATCCCAGGGGGCAGGCAGGCAGGCCCCCCTCCCCTGTGGAACCGTTAACTTATTCAGCTCGCTGGCTTTGCACAGTCTGTCCTGGGCCCAACCCTGAGCCCCAGGTGGGCACAGGTGGGCGTCACCTGGGGACCCCCACTGTCAGCAGCAGCCTGGGACCCCTCCCCCAGCAACCCCACCGCTCCCCACTCCTTGGTATAAGTGCAATTAAAGCCGTGGGTGTCGCATCTTCTCCAGAGCTGGGCCCTCCCTTGCCCCGCAGCCCTAGAGGGGGGCACTGCCTGGCCTGGTCGGGGGTAGGGTGGCGGGGGGATGCCGCCTCCAGCTTCCAAAGAGCAGCAGGCAGGGCTGGGCGTGGGAGCCCCGAGGGGCCTGCTGCCGGCAGTGGGGTCCAGAAGTGCCCGCGCCCGTCCCGGCCCAGGCTGGGGGCTCCACTCCCTCAGATCCAAGACCCCAGTGTCCCAGGCCGCCCGCCTCTGGTTTGTAATGGAACCTCCGCGCTCCTCCTCTCCCAGGAGACTGTGCTTCTCCTCCGTGCAGTGCGCCCCGCCCCCCACACGACTATTGTGCGATTTTTGTGAGCCGCCTGAGCGGAGTTGGTAACTTGTTGGTTTTTTTCCAACCATCATGGCCTTATCTGTTCCGGTTTTCTCAGTGTCTTCAACCTGTGAGATAGATGTTTATGGCAAAAAGCAAAAAGCAAAAAAAAAAAAAAAAAAAAAGGAAAAAAAAAAAAAAAACATAAACCTATTGTATAAAAATCACTATTTTGTGTGCTCCGCGTGCTACAGCTTTTGGGGTGGCCCACCCCCACCCCGTTCCCCCCCTCCCCCCCGCCCTCGGGGCCTCCCCTCTCCTGGCCGTGAAAGTGTCCACGCGTGTGGTAGTCTAGTGTGCCGAGCTGTTTTCTACCTTTTTGTAGTCTTTCTTAAAACACAATAAATTCCGCTGTGATATTTGGCTACTGCTGACTCGAGGGGCCTTGGGGCTGGGGGCTCCAACTGGGCCCTGAGCGGCAGTAAAGGGAATTCAGTGAGGCTCAGAAATAAAACATTTATTACATGAAGAGGAATGACGGGCAGGGGGAGGGGGTGGCCACGAGGTCTGCCACCTCAGGTGGGGGAGGCTGGGACGGGCAGGGCAGGGGAAAGGGGTCCATTCGGCCTCCCCGGGGGGCAACGTCCACACCTGTAGCCAAGGAAAGGGGCAGACGCGCAAAGAGCAAGGGCCTGTGCCCAGCGCGGGGTGAAGGTGGGCGCTTGAGGCTGGTGGGGCAGGGGGCTCCCTCCCTCTGCCCCTTCCCAACTTAAATAGGCATAAATAAGAAGCGTCCAGACTCTCAGGCCACCAGGGGCTGCCCCACCCAGCCCCCTTCCCCGCAGCCTAACACTAGTGCCGGTCGTCAGTCGGTCACCGGTCGGCCGGCCAGCCGGGGAGAGGCTGCCAGGAAGGCGGCCGGCTCCCAGGCCGCGGAGGTAGTTGGAGTCAGTGTCCGGAGCGGCCGGGCCCTCACAGCACAATCCACGTGTACCTCTCACTGTCTGCCAGAACCTTCAGCGAGCACCCTGCAGGCAAGGGGCAGAAGGCAGCCGTGGAGTCTCTGCGGGCCCAGGCTGTGGGAGGGGTCTGCCTCTTTCCCCGACTTGATTTGGGCCACACAAGGTTCCAGAAGGCAGTGAGGCCTGCAGCCACCCAGCAAAGCTCTGCTGAATGAAGGACTGGCCGCGGTTCCCCAGGCGCCACGCCTGCGGGTCCTCTCCAAGCCGGCCCCTCGCCTCGCCGGGCCTGCCCTCCTCCCCTCACCCCCATTCCACCGTGTCCAGTGGCACAGCCAGGGGACTCCTCCACTCAGCAACACTTAGCAATCAACACCGGCTCCAGGCCTGGCATGGCACCAGGGTAAGGACCTCAGTCCTGACCGCCATCGGGTCGCAGGGCCCACCTTTGTGTAGCGCCTCGTTGGTCATCCTATTGACGTAGCGGCCGCTGCTCTCAGGCACCAGCCACTTCATGACCATGTCCACGCAGCTCTTGCGGTATGAGCTCCAGACACTGCCGCTGAGGGCAAGGGGGCGAGGGCTCTCATCACCCAGGCCGCCCACCCCCGTCCCCGGCCCCCCCCCCCCCCCAGCCCTGGCCCCAGTCCCACCTCACCTGGTCTGCCCCTTGACCTCGGTCAGGTCGCCTACACTGACTGTCACGAAGATGCCTGTGTTGAGGTCCCATGCCACTTTGAGGCTGGTGTGATAGGTCTTTGGTCTGCAGCGGATGAGGAGCAAAGGAGAAAGGGACGGGACCAACGGGTCCCTCAGCTGGGACCCAGGCAACCCTGGGGGGCTTCTGTCTTTGGAACAGTAATGGAATTTGGGGGGCAGGGGAAGTCTTCTCACATCCCCACTCGCCCACTCCCCTGAAGTATCCAAGCGTGGCCCGCTGCTGGGCGGGGGCAAGGGGCATCCCGCTCACTCACCGGAGCTGGCCCTCCTCAGTGGGGGACGGGAACGCCAGGAGCAGCAGGCCGATGTTGATGAGGACTTGATTGGTTTCCGGGCAGACCTGGGGGGCAGGGGCGCGGGGGGGGGGGGCAGGCAGTGGGACAGTGACAGTTATTGAGGGTGATGCCCAGAACAGGGAGGCCCTGGGCACCCCTCCCCACCCCATTCCCTCCCTGGGCCCACCTCGAGGATGACAATGTCATAGTCACTGAAGGAACAAAACTGGTGGGCCCAGGTGGCATCATGGCGGATGACCTCATTGATGACATATTCGAAGTCCAGCGTGAGCTGCTCCACCGTCAGGTACTGACCCTGTGGGCAGCGGGCGGAGGGCAAGACTGCATCAGCTGTCACCCCAGCAGGCTCCCCAGGGGCTGCCCCTAGGCCTGCCCCCCCACTGGCACCAACCTGGACGGCAGCCCGCTCCCTCATGGGCCGCAGATTGCGGCCACGGAGATCAGTCACCACAAAGGGCAAGGAGATCTTGTCATCCTCGAACTCTGAGGGGGCAGGAAGTGGGGGTAGGGGTGGTGGGAGGCCTGGCTGGCCTCCCATGCCTGGGGCCCTGCCCACCGGGTGGGTTCCCAGCTCACCATCCTCCGCTTCGGTCCCTTCGCTGGACCCCAGCACGTAATACAGCTTGGTGTAGTTGACGTAGCCGGGCTCAGGGGCTGGTGCCTCCGCCGCAGGGGGGCTGTCTCGGGGTACCACCTCCCCACATGGGGCCAGGGGCTCTGAGGGAGGGCGGCAGCGACTGCCCGAGGGCCCTGGGCAGGGGGGCAGCCGGGCTTCCTCCGAGGTCCCGCCCTTGGCCTCTCTGGCCCTGCGGAAGATGTCGGCCACAAACTCCTTGGCTTTGGCGATGGCGGGCGAGGGCTCAGGGGCCCCAGGGACCCGGGCGGGGGCTGTTTCGGGACAGGGACTGGGGAGGGTGGGGGGCACCTCAGGGCTCTGAGGCCCAGGGGGGCTGGGAGGGGCCGGAGGGGAGGTGGTGTGGTCATACAGGATTTGGCAGAAGTTGTTCTCGCCTGAAACGAAAACAGTGAAGGGGGGGGGGGGGGATGTCAATAAACAAGTTCAAATCTAGGGCACTGCAGACCTCCCTCATTGCCCGGGGGCAGGGCGGTGGGGGGGTGGGGCGGGTGGTTCTTAGAAATCCACCTTGGGGACACCCTTCTAGAAGACTTCCCTATGCTGAAAGATCAGTTGAAAACACTCAGAAGGGGAAAAGGCCTTACATGCGCGTGCAAACACGTGCATAAACAATACCTTCAAGCTTTATTTCTGAGCATCTACCAGATGCCACACTGAGGACGCGAGGGAACGAGACACAAAAATCCCTGCCCTTGGGGAGTTCACGGTTTACAGTGACAAAAGCTAAAAATCACCAAAGTCTGAAAACTTACTCCATAGCCCTCCATCCTCCCCAACGGGAGCCTGACTGACTTGGGCACACAGTGCCCATCTATGGGCACCATCAGGAATGTGGGCTCGCCACGGACAACCCCAGTGTGTTCAGGAAGGAGCACTGTAGCTGAGCCCTGGGCCCTGCCTGCACCACCTCCAAAGGACCCCCCCCCCCCCCCACAATCAACACTGAGAGGGCGGGGGCTGTGTCCTCCCAGTTCAGAGACTGGGGAACGAGGCTCAGAGGGAAACTTGTCCAAGGGCACACTGCATGACAATGCGAACCAAGGCACTCCTGTCCACCAGAGTGGACGACGGCCAAGTCAAAACTCCCCCTTTGTGTAAACACTGTCCTATGGCGAGGTGTTAGACACGGGTGACGATGTCCCCCTCACCCCAGTGTGCACAAAGCTGAATCCTGTCCCACGTGACCCTTCCTACAGGGACCCATAGCCCCAAGTACCGGGGGCAGGTATCGGCCTCAACCAGGCCTGGGTTCTGGAGAGGGCCCTGCCCACAGTGGCACAAGCAGCCAGGGAAGGAGGCCCCTGCATGGGCCTGGGGACAGGACATCCTGGCCCTTGCTGGTTTGTGGCTTAATTGTATACATTTAATCCTTTTTTTTATATGCACTCCACTCCCTCTCCCAGGGACAACCGTTTTAATGTACTTAGTGGGTGTCTTCTTATTGACTCCATTCTTACGAAATCGGGACGTAAGTGGTGTCGTTGACTGGTGACAGATCTCCTTGGTTTCTTTTGCGTTTGGATGTGTCTTCAAGGCATGCTCCACAGACACGCGTGCTGGGGTGCTCAGTGGACTGCCGATCCAAGGGAATCACTGCCTTGTCCTACCTCCCCGATCCCCAGGGATGGACGCCAGGTAGCCCCTACCACCAAAGCCTTGGACGTGCCCGGGCTCAGGCCGGGCTGCGGTCACATTGTTGCCCTGTGGCCCTGAGGGTGCAGGTGAGGCCCCAGGGTCCCCCATCGCCGCCAGTGGTAACATCAACCAGCTTAACGTTAGCTACTCTTAACATTAGCTACAAGGGACATCACCTTGTGACTTTCACTGGCGTTTTTCCTATTCCCGAAGACATAAGATGGCCTTCTGTCTACCAACTGAAATTTTAAGTGACCGTTTCTGCTCGAAAAGGGCACTGCACTGTCCAGCATGGTAGCTGTGGCCACATGGGGCTACTTGAGCTCAACTAAAATTAAATAAAATTTAAAAGTCAGTTCTTGGGTCACTCAGCCGCTTCCAAGTGGCTACTGGTGGCGGCTGGAGCGGACACGGCAGATATAGACCATCATACCCCTACGGAAAGTTCTAGTGGACGGTGCCGGGGAGGAGCATGGCTAGCTTCGGATCCCGTACTCCTGCTGTCCAGCCGTGTGGCCCTGGACAAGGGACTCCACCTCTGCGTACCCCGGCCTCCTCATCTGCTGTGGGGGGCAGTGACAGGACCACCCTCGGAGGGCCGCTGGGCGGAGTCGGCAGGTCATGGGCTCTGAGGCTTACAGCCCGTGCTCGGCCCATCGTCGGGCCCGGGGGCCTACCTGCCGAGTGGACCGAGACCGCACAGGCCACCAGAGAGTAGCTGGTGTTGAGCAGCACCACCTGGTCCTTCTTGAGCTGGAAGGCGGGCTGGAAGGTGGGGAAGGGGTAGACCACCTGGTACTTGGTGTGCAGCATGAAGCCGTGCCGCAGGCACTGCGCGCTGGGGTCGCCTGCAGCAACACAAGCCACCCAGGCTCATTCCCGGCCTCGGGGTGGGGCGGGGCGGGGGGGGGGGAGCAGCCCGCACCCCGAGGCCCCCGGCCCGCTCACCCGGGTGGGCCCGGCTGGCTTCCCGGCAGGCGGCGCAGCGGCCCGGCGACGGCACCGCCACGGTGCTGATGTAGATGTCTCGGTGGTTCTCGTCACTCATCATCATCATGTTCATGAGCATCCCATTGGCCGAGCGGGTGCTGGGGGCCGGCACACCTTCAGCGGCCTGGCCCACGCACCACCCTCGCCAGGCCTTCCCTGTCCCCGGGTCTTACTTGAAGCCGAAGA